GCTGTAGAGTGTGTGAGGAGGGCATTGGTGCATCCTACCATACATTCATAGTGGCATTGAAGTGTTGAGTCTTGCAGTAGATGTGTATGTTCCAGCAACAAATTGAGTACAAAAGTGTTTTGTTTTTTTTTTTTCCTTTGCACTTGCAGGTGTTGTGAGGGTCTTTTTTTGTAGTGCTGATCCTCATTTGCTTCCTGTGTGGTTACCTGGTTTGTTATATGTGTTATTAAGGCTTCCTCAGCAGCAGTTTCAAACTCTTCTTTCGTGGGGAAGCTTTTTTTTATATGACCAGACAACTGGCATGACATATTGAAAAAACTGGAAAGAAAATCCCAAGACAAAACCAAAAACACAAACCAAAGTTGAAAATGGATGGATGAGTTTTCCTTACCTGATGACCGATGGGCAGCTCTCCAAGTAGAGTGGTTGAGATACAGACTAAATGTGGGAAAGAGTTGTTTGGGGGTAGCTGTTGAATTCCATGGCTTTCATGAAATAAATTGCATAAAATTGCAGTCAAATATTTCTCCTCAGTTCCCCAGGATACGTTTTCTGTGCTGTTTTGAAGGAGCCTAATTTACTGCACAGAGAATATCTTTGTCTAACTTTTAGAACAGTAATGAAATCACTACTGAAGAAGTTTAGTAAAAATTCATTAGACGAGTCATTCAAATTTATAAGAAATGAAAACTATGAATCACTTCTTTCTTTTTCTTTTTTAAAGGTTATTTTCATTTGTGCTTTCAAATCAGCTTGACTAGAGTATCTGTGCACTGTATATAAATGGCATGCTTTTAGGCTGTTTTCAAAACCAAAGTATTAAGTTCATCTGGGTGCAGAACTCCTGCTGGGGAAGTGTATATTGAAGATTAAATGAGAGCTGTATTCCAAGGGTAGGTAATGCCTGCTTTGTGTTGAAAAAATCATCTGAAGGACTGAACTTTAGCTAATAAATATAGATTTAATTTGCAACATGAAGGGGAGGAAATCAGGTCACTTCATCTTATGGTCAAATTTTGTTTAAAGGTGATTCATGTAATTTATATGCCTATAATATACATGGTCAAGAAGCCTTAAATACCAGGTCTTGTAATATATTCAGCATTATTTGTTATGAAGTGATCTGTGCATTTGGGTAGAAATTACTTCACTAGATAACTGCAGGAAAACTAACTCTTTTTTCGAAAGAGATTGGTGACAACTTAATCATTTTGCAAGACTCTAATTTAGGGTTTCTCTGCTCATGCTGTTTAGCTGCAGAAATCCTTTGACAAGGGCATGTTACCCTACTTTTGCAGCTGAGTTGGAGAATGACGTTAGAAAGAGAGAGAACTGTCTATTAAGTGAAATTAGGAAACAGTGTGCTCTCTGCACTGCTTTGCTGGCTGCACAGAGTTACTGTGGAAAATCCCTTGCTGGGCAGAAATTTGGGCTACAAATCAGTTTAGTGTCAGGAGCAGGCTCTGTGACCAGCCCCATGGTTAGAGAAGAGTTAAAGACATTTCAGCCCTTGAACAATGAAGTTCAACGTCTGTGCAGAATTTTCCTTGGAGAGATGTGCAATTAAAATTTCTCTGGAAGATCTGCTTGGTTGTGGTCTCGGCGGCTAATTATGAGATGGCAGAGTTGTTGGCTAATTTCAAGTGATTTTTAGTTGTTATAGTCACAAAACTTAGGAAATCTGGGTTTTGTTCCCAGCTCTGACACTCACTTCCTGCTGTGGCTGCAGTCAAATCACTGAGCTTGTCAGGGATGTGTCCTTTTCCAGCCACGGCTCTGACAACTGAGGGGTTTCTGTCCCCAGCCTGCCTTGCATGTGGATTGTGATCTGCTGACTGCACAGCTTCTGTGCCTTCTCCGTGGCAAATGTCAACAAAACAGAACTAAACCTCTATAGACTGCAAATTTAAACTGTTTTAGCTCCACAACTATAAACCTGTAAACTTGTATGGCCTGAGATTATGATTTATTTGGAAAATGAAGTTCTTGCTTTTAATCATCTGAGCCTGCTTCAGCAGAGGTATCCATTCTGATAGAAGTGCTTATGCAGTGAGACTGGAGTTGTACAGAGGTCTTTATTCTTCATCATAAAATGTAATCGAACTTATCAACCTTCAGGTGCTCAGATAGTGGCCTAAAAAGGGCGTATAAAAAATTCAGTGATATCCTAGTCACTCAGTAATCTTTGATTTATCTTTTAATAGCGTTCAGCAAGTGGCATGCAGATTAGCATTTATCACTGTCAGTAAGAAGACTGCAACTTGTTTTCTTTGCTCTCTGTGGTTTTTTCCTTGCTTTACATCTGTTTGATTTAGAGTGGAATTTTTTCAGGCTGTACAGTCTGACTTTCCAAAGTGAGGATGTCTGGCATTTTGTGGGTGCCAGACATTTTCTGAGATATAGAAGAGAGCTGTGTACGAAGTCTTACTAATTAGGTGCGTTTTCTCTTGCTTGCAAAACACTTTTATTTGTGGCATCTTCTGGATTGATTTAGAAATACTATGTCACTAATGTCAGATATCCAAAATGCTTCTGCTACAAACACTCTTCTCTGTAAATTTCATGCCAGCAGTTAACAGGTACATTTTTTTTTCATCTTCCTTTCATGCTTGTATTTCTTTTCTTAAAGCTGTGAGCATTTTGCTTTTGGTATCCTGTGTATTTTTTTCCATCCTTTCCTCTATCTACTTTTTGCCTCCCTGCTCCACTCTTATCTTTGAACAAGTTTTCACCCTGGAGCATGTGACTAGCCCAGCCTTCCACTGCTTGTCATCTAAAGTTTATTCTCCTTCAAATCTCTTTGAAAAATCCCCCTTCCTTTCTTTCTCCCTTCATTATTCTGGACCTCTTTCTATCTCAAGCAGAATGTTTCTGTAGTAATGAGGCCAAACGCAAACATTTGTATATCTGAGAGGATTTTTTTAATTTTTCCAGTACTTTAAAATGACACCATCTTGAATATGAACTTACCTAATGACCTGTTAGAGATATTAATGGATTAAAAAAATTAATGTTTGGTTATTCCAACCATTTTTTATGTCAGTCATTGTGCTCACTGTTCATCTTCTGTAGTTAACTGGTACAGAGGTATCCTCTTCCAGAGTTCTGTGAAGTGTCACTTTTTATTTGACATGGATGAAGCTCTGAGCCTCATTCACAAGTGGAGCAACACAACTGCAAATGCAGTTTCCTCACCTGCAGCAGTAAAATTGGTAATGCCCTTTCTAGCAAAGGACACCATCAGTTGTCCTTACACTTGGCATCAAAGAACAAGGAGATTGTGTAAACTCTGCAAGTTGGTTCTAAGTTTAGGAATGTGCATGATGCTGATGCTGGAATTCACCACTTTGCAGACAGTGATTCCCAATCAAGCAGCAGTTTCAAATTTAATTTCACAAGTTTATTTCATGTCTAAAAGCGTTTTGCCTTTTTATTTAGTAGTTTTCTTGGCCTGTTATCTGAATTATTACTGTTTGGTTGTCTTCTGCCATCACCTGCTTCTCCGGGTCAGAACATTATTGCTAGGAAGGGTTCTGGTGAGTCATGTAGCCCCAGGAAAGGCTCAATTAAAGATAGACTTGAATGGCCTAGATATAAGCCCTTGTGCTACAGACATTGCAACCTTTCCTCGTGACTTATTTTGGTGTTTAATTATTCCTTTCCACGACAAAGGAATTTGTTTGCTTTCCAATATCTAGACGTAAGTTTTCTTACCTGCAACTTAAGCCTGCTTACTTCTGTTCTTCAGCCTTCAAAGCACCCATTTTCTCAATGGAACAGTCTTCTATGTATCAGGAGATTTACTGGGATAGCCCAAGTTTCCTCCAGGCTAAATGACTCTAATTTGTTTGCTCTTTGCTTTTTAGATTGTTCAGCCTTGCGTTATATGTCATGTTTTCAGGATCTCTCGGGGCTCATGTTGCACTCCTCTGGGTGCTGTCCAGTTGGTTCACAGTGCTTCAGCTGTGGCTCCCACTCCTCCTCCAGCCTCCTGTGCACTGAAGGCCTTTTTCTCAGTGGGATGACTTGGATGACTCATGTCTAGCCTGTGATATGTTATAGCCTTTGACATTTTTCTTCAAAATTCCTTTATGGGCTTTTATTCTTTTTCTAGATGCAGTTTCTTTGTGCTGGATCTTTGTGTTCTGTGCATCTGGTTGGTCAAGAATTTTCTCTTATTTGGTGTTCTTGCTGTCCCAGAGTGGTGTCATCTGCAGGTTTAACACTTGTGTTCCACTTCCTCTTGAAGAAGCAGATGATGAAAACACTGACCATTAGATCTGAAACAGGACTTTGATTCCCAGGGAACTCACTCAGATCATCTGTTTTGGCAGGAAATTATTGATAAGTATTTCTGAGTATGCTTGCTTTTTTTTTTCCCATGAGTTTGTTTTCACTGTTGTGCCATTCATGTATGAATTGGTGGTAATGGCAGGAAATCACATTTGAAATAATCTTAGTTCCTGGAGATAGAACTTGTTCGGAAAAAATACTGCTGTCTGGTTAGATGCATATGCTTTTGGCTTTTCTCTGGTGAGAATCTTTTCAAAATCCAGTTAACACGGCATACTAGTATAGTTTGTGTGTTTTGACCTTTTATTTTTCTCAATAATCTGTTTTATTAGGGTTATCGCAAGCATGGCCGTGAGGTTTTGTAAATTTTTCATGGTTTCATCTCCAGTTCTGTTTCTTCCTTTTTAAGTTTTGCAGGGCTTTAAGTTTGCATGGTAGCAAATGTTCTCTATCCTTGAGGCAGGGGTTTTTTCTTTCATTTTTTCAGAATGAGTACACAACCTCAAAATTGAGATTTTGGGGGTTTTTTTACACAGTTTTTGAAAATTGTCTGGACATAGCAGACTTTAATTTTATACACTAATTTTCTTTCCTCTTTGGAAACTGTTGCTTGGTATCTGAATGTCCTTTCCCACAGAATTTTACAAAACAGCAGTTAATATAATCTACTCTCTTGATTACCTCTTTTTTTAAATTTTATATTCTAGGGTTTTGACCCACCGCATCAAAGCGACACAAGAACTATTTATATAGCAAATCGTTTTCCCCAGCATGGCCACTATGTTCCTCAGAAGTTTGCAGACAACAGAATCATATCATCCAAGGTAAGGAATCAATTTGTCATGGCAAAACCACTTGATATGTTACTTAAGAAGTTGTGTGGCAAATGTGCATAATACAGATGTGTCTGTATTATGTCTAGTGGTGCTTATACAGTATTCAAAATGAAACAAACTCTGAACTGTTTTGAGGAAAAAGCTGGGTTGCTTCATGTGTAGTTTGTCTCATTCTCTCACCTTTCTTTCCTCAAAACTCAAGTACAGAGCAATTAAGCAAGTTGGTCAGGCTTTCTGATGAAAAGTAATTTTTCAACCAGTGTTGGCCAAACTACTTAAAAGGCAGGATGAAGCTGGTTATGAGGATTTTTAAAATAGCCAAATTGAAAGCCAGTACTCTGCATAAAATAAATCAGCAGTGGACTGCAATTGCAGATTCCCTCCTGGTGTGTCCTTGGATTGAAATCAATAGAGCTGATGGTGGGGATGTGCCTCGTCTCTGTAGTGTTGGAGGGAATGTTACAGCTGCAGGAATTAATTTCCTTCCTCCTACCCAGGACACAAGCAGCCAAATGACTCCAGCTGCCCCTGGCCCAGTTGGAGGAAAACATTTTAAACTTGTCCTGTAGAGGAAATGCAGTTGCTACCCCTGCTTCCCTGCTAGCTGTACTTAAAACAGAAGGAATAAAAAATAAGAACAGAAATTGGATACAGCAGTTCTGTGTGGGGGAAGAGCAAGGTCTGGGGCAGGGGACCTGGGGAATGAGAAGATTTAGGTTAGGAGAGTTCAATGGGAGTGGAACTGAAATTCACTGAAAAATTGTGCATTGTGCTGTAATTATTCATCTCTCTCTCCTTTTTTTTCCCTTCAGTATACAGTGTGGAATTTTGTTCCAAAAAATTTATTTGAGCAGTTCAGAAGAGTAGCCAACTTTTATTTTCTCATTATATTTTTGGTTCAGGTAAGTTGAATAATACTCAGGAAATTGCATTTTTTGTTGTAAATTGTGCCACTGATTTTTTGTTCCGTGAATTTAACTTCTCTACTTATATATTCTGTCTATTAAAAAATCCCAAACATTTCCAGTTTCTCTAGGCAAAGAACGTAACTTTTAAAATAATTATGTCAAAATTTAAGTATTATCCTTAGGTTTTATCTTCATGAACGCAAATGTAGTTAAGTGTGCAGCTTCAAAGTCCATTGCACAGTCAGCAGAAGGATTCAATTGTCTGCCTCAAATACAACTTTAAATCTCTTAAGGGAGTAATGAAATTCCAGATATGCTTCTTCTTTTTGTGAGCATTGGTGATGTTTGAATATTTGTGTATTTTCACTGTAGGTGGTTGCAAATCAGTAGACTATTGTGATATAGTTCTAAGATCCTCAAATTCAATTTGTTCAGATAAAATGAACACACGAGTGTTACAGTTAAAATCAATAGTTTGCCAGTTTTGAAGACGTCAGTTAGTGCTGTTATTGTTGCAGTTTATGTCAGAAATACTGCTGTGGCTTTCGTAGCAGACCATATTTCTTTTAATTAAGAGCACCCACAAGTAGATTAGGACAGTCTGTACGTTTTCTGTCATCTTTGCCTTTCCAGCTCTGTAATGTACCTGAATTCTATTTTATTCTATTCTATGAAGCTATTGCAGGCTTAGTAGGTGAAGGGTAAGTGGGAGAAGGGTTCAGAGGAGAGAGAGTAACTTTGGAAAGATTAATTAATATCTGAGGCAGAGACAAGATTTTGGGGTACACAAACTTTTCTTTCATTATAAAAAAGAATTATTTGAACATGTACAACCCTCCACAGTGATTAACCAACATTTAGAGGGTGCATCTGAAAAAGATGACACATCATTTGATAAAGTATGGCGATAGTGAATTGTCTGTGGTTGTGTAAGGTGTCAGTATCAGGGCCAGGTCTGCAGCTTTTAATCCATTGCCTCCTGTGTCCCTTGATCTTGTTCTTTCACATTTAGAAAGAAGGACATTTCTAGGTTGAAAATTCCTGTGCTGGACTAAAGTCATGCAGTTCTAACTTAGACTAACAAAATGTGTTGTCCATCACATCTTCCTAGTTAAGCATATTGACTGTGTCATTCCTGTTGCAACATGTTTCATGCTGGTTAACATGTTGTAGCAGGAGGAAGATAGGAAAGTGTTGAAGATGGAAAATAAATGTTATAAAAGGAACCACAGGCAGCGTGGCTTTTATTGCTTTTTAATGCAGATGTATGTCTTCAGTTCATTGTTGTGTCACAGTTCTTTCAAACTGTTGCCTTTCAGTAGTATCTAAATGTGTCATCCATGAACAAATAAGGATCTAAGGGCAGAAATTCTGAGTGTAATCCTGTTCTCTCAGTTTGTGTCAAGTGGATGCTCTCACGTGTACAGGAAGCGTCTTCTTGTCTGTGTGTCTGCATTCTTGGAAACAGAACAGCAGAAAAGTTGAAGTCATTTTTGTTCATTTGTTTGAATGGAATTCTGTTTTTATTCAAATCCCTTTTGGAAGTTCATAAGTATCTAATAGTTTTTTCTTTTTATGAGGCAAAGGTGCCTTTTAAAGCTGACCACCATGGTACCTTCCCTGTCCTGTGAATCTCGTGTGGCCAAGATGCAGTGTCTGTCATTACCACCTTTTCCACTGGGGATGGCAGAGCTGGGGCAGGTTCTCGTTGTGTGATTTCAACTTGCAGCACAGTCCAGTCCACACTGTTCACCACACTTGTGCATGCCCAAAACAAGGTGACAGACTGCATTTTGGTAACACGAGGTGTGTCATGGATACGTGTCCAGCCGCATGGCAGGCATAGGGCCATGGTGTCCTGGTGAAACTTGACAATTCTATCAGCACAAAACCTGCTTCATTTTCGTATATGAGCCTCTCTTGAGAAAGAATGAGAGAGTATAGATGGCAGAAATGCCATGATTAACCCTATCCAGCTGAAAATCAGATGCTTTTGGTAAGGTTTTTCTTGGTCAAAATGCTGCCAAGCTGAAATTGTAGTGCTACAGTTAAAGAACAGACAGTATTTTAGGCTAGGTCTCATTTTTATTGTGTTCTATAAATTGTCTGTTTCAGTGAAAAAAAGAAAACCAAAAACCTCATGTGTGCATTGTTAAGTGGCATGACCTGTTTTCTCTGTGAGGTTCTTCCCCTGTAATAGAGTAAACTTCATGTATGACTTTTTTTTCTTCTTTAATGATTCCCAAAGCAATCCCATAAGTCTCAGGTAAAGTGGATCAAATCAGTGTCTGTGGTTTTGAGTAGTTCTTGTGTATATTTCCTTTACAGCACTTGACCGTGTTGATTTTTTCCTGCAGCAGAGGAGAACCACTAACATCCCCCCACATACAGAAGCTTAGTGTGTACACTGCACTTTTGGCATGCCAGCAATAATAGCACAAATTGTAAAAACTGCATGTTAACTTCGGGCAACCAGAAAGGTGCAGCCTAAAAAAAGTGTTCTGTAATACCTAAACCATTGGAAATTACTGCTCTTAACTTTATTTTCACTTCTAAAGTGGATGATGTTATACTCTACATTGCTGGTAAGCAGTAGATCGTATAGAGTGTTGAAACAGCTTCATGAAATGCAGATTTTCTTCCTTTGTAATATGCTTTTGAATTAATTTTTGTAGGATGAAATGATACCTTCCTTTTAGTAAGGACCCTTAAAATTGCTCATGCTTTACAAATGTGACTAAGGCTGCTCTATGACCTAGAACATTTGTTTGCATCATTATTGGCATCTTATTTAGTTGTCAGAAACCAAGTTTTGCTTGAGAAATTCTGCAGGAAATGCAGTAAAAATACTCACAGGTTATAATAAAGAGTTTGCAAAATAGTTGTCATCTTGCTTCATTTGCTGTTTTTTCTTTGAAAGTAAAATTGCAAAAATAAAATTTGAACTAATTTTTGTATTTTCTTTTCTTTTAGCTCATGATAGATACCCCTACCAGTCCTATTACCAGTGGATTGCCATTATTCTTTGTCATAACTGTGACAGCCATAAAACAGGTAAAGGGGAAAAATCTTGTGGCATGAAGTCCTACTGAAGTAAAGTTACTTCACAGAGTCTGACCTGGATAGTGCTTTGATCCTAAAAATACATTAAAATGATGTAATTTTTAGAAACTGTTTTTGATTTAATGTTTCTAGTTAGATGCTTGAGCTTCAGCATTTGGTTGGTTGTCAAGCACTCAGTGACTCACTGCAGTACCCTAAAATGGACAGTGGATGACTGTCAGGCAGCATTTTTGTCTAAACATTGCATGTCACTTGTTATCAGGCCTTTTCTGAAAGCTCCTCACTTATTCCTTTGGCACACCTCACAGCCTGTTAGAACCAGTCCTCCCACATCACACCCTGAGAAAGGAGCCTGGGCAGATGAAGCAGTGGTGCAGGCTGTGTTTGTCAGTAGTTAAAAGTAAATTTTCCCCTAAGGTGTATGTTTTATGGTGTAAAATGTTTATTAACTGTTATCCTGTGCTAGGTAAAAGCTCTGGTTTAGAAAGCTCCTGATCTTCAGTTGCATAAAACATTTTGGAGTGTTTCATAGCACTTGAAATAAGAAGTCTTCTGAGTTTAATAGAAATCTTGTTCAAGCACCATATTACATCCTACTGAGACCTAGAGCCTCTGGAATCAGAATGTAAAAATAAAAAGAAAAAATGTTTTTTGTTTTCTTTATGCCTTTAAAGCAAGAGGAGAAAGAAGCAAGCTCATAAATAAAGAAGTGATGTGGATAAAAATTATAATCTCTTCTGCAGGGAGGTAATTTTCAGGAGCTATCATCTTCAAGGGATTTGACAGTGCTGTCGGGAATAGATGCAGCCTCGCAACTGAAAAATAAGCAGGAGACTGTTTCAGGGCTGTAACCAGAATTTCAATTTGCCTTCTGTGCCAGAAAGACCCAAAGCCACCCAGAAATAGGGCAAAAGTAAAAACAGTTCTAGCTTTCAAGCAGATAGAAAGGTGTTTGGGACAAAGTGGTTCTTAATCTGGAGTAATATTTGGACTAATATTTCATCTTGTTGCTGTGCAATTTGGGTATGTAGAATGCCCTAATCCTATTCAACTGCAGTTGTTACCATCACCCTCCAAAAAAATCACATGTTCAAAAGCCATAATCATAAGTAGGCAATGGATAATAAAACTGTGTGAACTAAAAGAGATTATGAAACAGATTTATAAATATTACATTACTTTTTCCAGAAAGAAACTGGATTTGTGTAAGTCTAAAATAGTCCATAATAATCTTAACACAACCTTGCTTCCAGATGTCCAATCTTATATTGGGAAATTTAACTCTCTTATCATCAATTTCAAAGCACAATGATTCTGTCATTCCTTCTGGAAACTTCCAATCATTCATGATTCGCCAGGCATCAAGAGATTTTCTGGCTGTCTCAATATCTCTGCAAGGACTATTGGAACGACCTAAACTGATCTAATGGACTCACACGTTTCTCCTACCTGCTGCAAAGGAAGCAAGCAATATTCACAGGCTGTTATCTTGAAGGGACAATGAATTTTGCTATTTCCAACAGGCTACCCTCAGACAAGGGAGAAAGATAAATCTGTTGGAGTGCAGAGGGAAAAATCCCCAGTATTGCCTCAAAATCGGTTCCCATTTTCTCTAAACCAGAAGTGTAATAGGAAGCAGATTTTAAGGAAAGAACGCCTTTTTGAAAGCTGTGGGGCACTGGTTATATATAAAGTTATATCAGGATAAATATTAAACTATAATTTAGTATTCTGTCAAAATGTGAAAGGGTAAAATAGAAGCATTAGTCATTTGAAGATTTGAGAAGCTTAGCAATGGATGGAACAAGTCCCCTGCCTTCCAGAAGACCGGTGAATGTGGCACCTCTTGCAAAGCTCAGAACTCAGCCTTGTTTTAATCTCAGCCAAGGAGACAGAACCTTTTCTACTTCGAAGTGTAATTTCACCTAGGTCAGAAGAAGGGCATACAAAACTGCAAAGTGATGCAGCTCATGCTGTGTCATTTTGTCTGTCTTGTTAGCCAGGGCACTTTCTTCCTTATGCCTCTGAAGGTCTGTACGCAGTCCTCCAAGGAGTTCAAAGTTAGCAAAAAAAAAAAAACCAAAACAAAAAGTTAAAAGAAAAAAACAAACCAAAAAAACTCTAACCAAAATGCAACAAAATAAAGGTATTTCCTAAGGAACTTTAGCAAACAGTTCATGATGGAACACAGGTGTTTATTTGACTGCCAGGTAAATTCTAAACTACTGCTTTGCAAGTTTTGATTAACTATAGACCTAAACTGAGAATGAAAAACCTAGTAGTAAAAAATGCAGGTATTTTCTCAATTACATTGATGCAGTTATTTAAGCAGGACTTAAGAAGATAATTTAATTGAGGGATTTTAATATTTAGTTTATTTTCTTGCAAGTAGGCAACATTCTCTGTATTCCTCTTGCATCTTTCTCTTCACTGTATTTTTCCAATGTTTTCAAGTGAGGATAAGGACCTCTTAAAAATGCCACAGTAGGTAAATTTGGGGGGAATGTGAACTGACCACACTAAGTTGGCTCTTAAGAATTCCCTGGTGTGAGGTGTCACCCTCATGTTGGAGGCAGGAGGTGTCAGATGGAGAAAGCGCTGAAATCTGTACTTTCCAAAGAAGGTAGATTTCAGTCCTTTGCCAAATGCCCACATTGCTCAGCTGTTCAGGTTTGTGAGACAAATGCCCCAAGGTTACTGAGTGATAGTTAAATCCTTGTTTTCTTCTGTCAGTCACCTTTAACAAGGAGCTGTAGGTACTGACTCTTGCTTTTTTCATACAGCTTAGGAAGGATTCTTACAAGAGTCATACTTAGGGGCTTCAGGATTCTGATGTCCCAGTATCTCTCTGTATGGCTGCTATTACTGCACACTTTTTAATTACTGTTTTTTGAACATTTGGCATATAAAGCTTTTTTCTTTTCCCCATTCCCCCTCTCTTTCATCTTTCTTTTCAAACACAGGTAGTGCCGTTGTGCTATCCTTATTCATTTGTGCTAGTAACAGTGGAGATGTGTGAAGGTAGAACTGCAAAACTACTTTTAACATGCGAATTTTATCATATAACTTTTCCTACAAATTCCAGTTAACCACAGAACTCTAAATTGCATCTGCATTAGTACTTCTTGTACTTACATGAATTCTTACAATGTTTGTAGGATGAGTTGGGATTATGCCTGCTGTTTCACACAGCTGCTTTCTTCTGTCTGCATACTCCCAAGGAAACATTTTTATCTCTTTCACAGTTCTTATACCTACAAAAAAGCATTTTAGGAAGTCTATTATTTGCAGATTAGTTGCAAGAATCTTGCCAGGTTGTACGAGACAGTTGAACTTCCTGCGTGATTGATCCATTTCTTGTGCTTGCTAGTGGGGCTTTCTAAACAGTACCTAGGCTTGGGGATCAGAAATTATTATCCTACCATCATGTAATGCTGTTAGAGTAAACAAGCTGTGGATTCATACTTTAGGAAAATAGGAGGGAAATAATATACTTGTATTGACAATCTTGGGTGTTTGCACATGTGTGTGCATGGGATAAAGGGTGCCTGAACAGATGTGAAGTATCAGGTAAAGGAAAGCTGCTTAGTTTATCAGTTGAAAGCTCAGTTGCTGCAGACTGTTCCATTAGGACTCAAAAAGTGCGAAAATCTTCTCAGTCATCTTCTCTTGCTGGACAGAGCTGATGTGTCAACAGCATGTCACACAGAATTAAATCTTGCGATTTCATGCATGGGCTGTGGCAGTAACTATAAGAAATGCCATATGATATGACTTGACAAAGTAATTTCTAAAAAAAAAAGGAATCCACAGAGTAGCCTGATGACTGCCTGTTCCTGGTTTTTGGCCTATTAATGCATATAGATCAAAGATTTATTGAGTGCTTGGTCATCTGATCTGCAGAAAATGTCATTGCCTGTTTGTTTTAAGAGAACATGGGACTGTTAAGTATCTTCACCACTTCTGCTACTTTTTTTGCCTTTACATGTTTGTGTAAAATGACAAAGTTCATAGGTTCACAGGTTCTTGAGTAACAGCTGGAACAGAAATTCAAGAGAAGTTAGTAACTGTATTCAGACAATGCAGGAAGTAGTTTGAACACATTTGTTTAGTAGATTAAATTTAGTCTATTTTTTTAGTTTTCTTGCTTAAAAAGTAGATTTTTTTAATGTGTTTTCCACAGGGCTATGAGGACTGGCTACGACATAAAGCAGACAATGAAGTCAATGGTGCTCCAGTTTATGTTGTTCGAAGTGGTGGCCTTGTGAAAACGAGATCTAAAAACATTCGGGTAAAGGAAAATTGAAAATTGTGTATTACACAGCTAAAACTCTTGATTTATTGCTAATCATTATGGTTTGGTAACAATGCTGAAATGAATTCTGGTCTTTAAACCTCTTTGTATCTTTCTGGTCTATGTTCACTTTGTTAGGTGGGGGACATTGTCAGAGTAGCCAAAGATGAGACTTTCCCTGTTGATCTGGTGCTCCTGTCATCTGACCGAGTGGACGGTTCATGCCACGTTACCACTGCAAGTTTGGATGGAGAGACCAATCTTAAGGTCTGGGTTACTTCTGTGAAATAGAATGTAGTTAATTGGTGGTGCCATATTTTATTCAGCCTGTTGAAATACCTGCCCTGCTGCCTGCTAGTCCTTCAGTAACCCGATGGGCACTGTTTTACAGACACACGTTGCAGTCCCAGAAACAGCAGTGCTTCAGTCTGTTGCCAACCTGGACAAACTGGTAGCTGTTATAGAATGTCAGCAGCCAGAAGCAGATCTGTACAGGTATCACTATATTCGTAAATATTTTGAAATTAAATTAAAATGTTTAATACTCAGAATGTTACAGGTCTTGCTAGGATTAAAATAGCTTCAGCCATCTGCTTGAATTTTAGGTTTTCATAATCAGGTTGTGTTTATACAACACAACTTGAAAGTTGCAAGTGATAAGTTAAATTTGAGTACTTGAGTAGTAACGCAGACATAATAATATTTATCTTTTTTTTTTAATTACATACATTTCAGTTCCAGTAAGTAAATTTATTTCTACATTTTAATGAATTAAATGGCCTACAGTCTGATCAGGTTGAAGAAAGTCCTATAAGGTTCTGCCAGAAGATTTCAATATTATATAGGATATGTTGAAGTGGAATTGACTCAAGTCTAATTCTAAGGATATGTGTTGCTCATATTCATTTTGCATATGCTCCAGAGGAGGTTTGAACTCCATTCTTCAGCAGCAAAACCTTAGATTAAAAACAGGGATATCCAAGCATGCTTTAACATCAGCAGGCAAGATCATAGACTCTCTAAAGCAGCATCATAGGTAGCAAAAGTTATGTTCCCATCCAAGTTTCTTCTGAATTGCATAATGGAAGATAGTAGCTATGAAGTAGTAGTTTTTAAACTCCAAGTATATTATTGCAGCTGTTCTTAACTAAGCTTGGAGATCTTTGAGCAATATTAAGGTTTTTAAAACTAGGATGCTCAGTTGGAACAGATGTTCTAATATTTGATATTTAGCAAATTAAGGTACAATCAATATAGAAGTTTGAGTTCCTTTTTGTGACTGGAGTCATGATAAATATGTACATGTCAGATTTTTAAACGTGTAATAGATTGGCTTTATTAAATGAAAAGTTACTATTTCTGGTGGATAGTCTGCAAACTTATATTTGTTGAGGAATTATTTCTGACTGAATCATCAAGAAGTCACAATCTGTTTCAAATGAATAGAAATATAATCTTTTGTGGTAATTAATCAGAGTTAATAAGCCTTTTCAAATGCCTATTCCTTTGAGGGATAAATGTTTCTGTTGCTAAATGTCTCTTGTAAAATTATTGCCAGTTTTACCATATTGGTTTAGTTTGATTGTTAATAAAAGTTGATTTATTTTTTTGCTTGTGAACCATTAATAACTTCTTTGTAGGTATAGAGAAGGTTTTTACATATTTGAGTCTTTATGTAGATACTTCTAAGACATATCCGTCTTTCATAGATTTGTTGGAAGAATAACTGTAAGTCAACAAGCTGAAGAAATAGTAAGGTGAGTAAGATTGTATAAGATCATTATTTAGAACACGTGGAGGTGGTTGAATATATGAAAAGGGGAGGTATTTTTCCTAAAAGTATCAACTGCAGCTGCATACCTCAGATGGAGATGAGAAAAAATGAGTGAAAGAAATTCATTACTACCCAGTTTTACAGATTTAATACAAGAGTTCTGGAAAGCTTGGCTGTTGCGAAGCAGGTAGTTTTTTGGCACTGGTTATCAACTGGTAACTCTGTTGTTATTTATTAATTAAAGCATATATTGATCTATTTCCACTGACGTATTCTCTGCAGTACAACAGATCCCCTTTCATCAGAGGCACTGAGAAGGAGTTTCTGCAGTTGAAATCCCTAGAAATTCCTGGTTTTTAACAAAGCCTCTGCTACAAATTTGTAATTATTAGTATCTATTTCAAACTACAGCTGGACTGTGAAGATAAGTGCTTACATCTGTCACAGGCAACACAACTGTGTTGTACATAATCATGTGCTCACCTCCTTTCCTTGTGCAGTCACAGCAAGTAACAAACACATGTGCAAATATAAAAATAAAGATGTGAGGCCATTTACAGACTTCCATCTCCACTTCCTGGAAAGATTTCTAATTGCTGTGGTTTGGTCCCAGCTACCAGCAAGGCATCCAAACAGCTGCTCATTCAATTCCCCCCACCACAACAGGATAGGAGAGATAACAGGAAGGACAAGAGTGAGAAGGATCATGGTTTGAAGTAAAGGCATAGAAATCAGTCATAAGAAATTTCCAAATTTTCAGAAATATTTAACATTCAAGTTCAGTTACTTTATCTTGCGAGTTCCTGATTGTTCAGCTTTCAAAAAAGCTTTGTCACCTCTTCTGAAAAGGTGAAGTGCTGTGTGTAAATTTGTCACTGAAACAGGTAAATCTCTTAAGGTTCTTTCACTCCTCTAATGTCCAAAATGTTGTCTTTTATACTTTTTTTTTTTGTGAAATTTCTACTTGACTATTAAAAGAGTACTGTTTACCTTGTAGTATCTGCCTTCAGTCTGAGGAACTGAATGTCTCTCAGTCTGAGGCTAGCAAACATCTGGATGGGAGTGACATGGAATTCAGAGTGAATCGAGGAGTTTACAGTGGTTTTGTAAGAAATATGGAAGTGTAGCAGTCAGGTTACTTGGCCCCAAGTTCAGTGTCTTAGTCACCCTCACCAGAAAGCCCCACCAATGGCACCCCCAAAAACCCACTTGGCTGTTTTCTAAGGTCACTTTGCTACTTCATTGAGAGCTTTTCAGAATTCATTACTGCCAGTCTTGACAGGTGCAGCATTGGGATAATCTATCAAAATAATTAAGTTGACAATGTAAAACAGAGCTGGTTAAAAGGGAAGTGAAAAAAATAATTGCAAGTTCTGACTACTTAGTGGAGCTGTATCTTCTATCTAAGATAAACTTGTCAGGTCTGTGTTGCACTGAATCAGGTTTGGTATTTTGGATTTGTCAGGCTGGTTGTACAAAATTGAATCCAGAAATATAAATTGTGTTTCTTATATGAAAATTCTAAATGCTCAAGCATTTAATCACTTTTAGTTAAAATTTTCAGTTGAAGTCTGAGTCTAGCCTAAAATATTAACATATGTATGTTTAATTTAAACAATCTATCATATTCTGTGTGTATAATTGGTACACGTGGTGTTTGTGATGGTAACTGTTACATTTGCAGTAACATTTAAGTTAAATTTTTGACTGTGGGAGGTGAGTTGTGGGTTTGACTTTCCTTGTTTTGAGTAACTTTAGGTTATATTTTCAAAGGGACATCAAGTTTAAGGGCTTTGTTTATACAATAGTGATCATGGCCTGCATGTGGCGCAGCTAAAGGAAAAGTAGGGTAAACCCAAGGGCTTGCATGCCAAAGCACTTAGCATCTGAACTTTTAATTATTTTGTTTCTACCCAGTATGTCAATCTGGCCACTGCAGTTGTTAATTTTCTGCTTGCATTTGAAATAGTGGGAAAAATACCTTTTTTTAAATTTCAAACCAACCCTGCTGACAGCTTCTAAAGATGATACAGCTGCTGCAGTAGAACATATGGTTCTAACCTTATATTAACCTTGTTTCTAACTAGACCTTTATTTTCACAGCCCTGCTTGCCATTCTTAGCCAAAGAAATGAATGTTATTCTATTGTGATAGATGTGAGGAAAAAATACTGTTTTACCTCCTTAAATTTTACCTCCTATGTTAGGAAATAAAACTGGCACTGCTGAAGTGGTGTCCCTCTAATTGTTTGTTTCTTTGGTTTGAATAGCTTTTGAACTTTCTAGATCATTTCAGTCTGATAGAGGGGTAGAGGATTGGTAAATTAGCCAAACCTAAGCCAGCACTTTGGGTGCACAGTGAGCACTATTGGTTTCTTGACTGCTTCCTTCCCAAGTACCTTGTGGGTCTCTCTGAATATTTGGAATATTTAGCTCAGTCAGTAGTTATGAGATATGGAACAGTGGTGGGGGAGTATGACAGTGACCAAAGGAGGACATGAAAGGAAGCAGAGCTCTGTGGAGATGTGTGGGAGGTGTGGTGGAAGGACTAAGATCACTGATTGAGTTGCTGCACTGGGAATTTATAGGGGATATAGGACAGCTTTGCATAGGAAACTGGATTTCAGTACTTCTCCAGAATACAGAACAGCTGATGTTTACATGCTGATATGTCTATTTCTTTTTAGACCTCTTGGGCCTGAAAGTCTCTTACTTCGTGGAGCAAGATTAAAAAACACTAAAGAAATATTTGGTTTGTAGACATCTAAATATTTAAAGAGTATTCTCTTCTTAAAGCATGTTGATGAACTGGGTTTTAATTCTGCTTGCACTGAAGAAATTGTAATAATCTTGCTGACTGTTACCTGAGGGGATATGATTGTAGATGAAAGTAATGATATTATGCTGAAGAACCTCTAAGGATATAAAGTTCCAGCTCTGCTCTGTGAAAATATTTGAAGTGGTTTGATAAAGGAATAACTTAACTTCAATGGATAAATGACTGTTCTTATTCTTACCTATTGTTCAAGGCTTTCTCCTGAGATTTACCATGCTGATTTCCATAAAATACATATTGAAGAGCAGTACAGTCATAATAATGAACAGTGTTAAAGTAGGTGTTAAAATTACTCCAGTAGTACTCTTACTATAGAAGAGTCTTGCAAATAGTACAAAATACTGTCTCATAGTAAACACAGAAGTAGTACCACCTTTTGCTTTTATCCTGTATCTCTCAAAATTAAAAATTCTGCAAATTGTATTTATGCAGGAAAGGAAGTCTGACTCTTCCCCTTTTCCTTCCCAGGTGTTGCTGTGTATACAGGTATGGAGACAAAGATGGCATTAAATTACAAGAGTAAATCTCAGAAACGGTCAGCAGTAGAAAAGTATGTTTATTTTCTAATATCTCTCTAATTTGTAGAGCTTTAACTTAGTTTTTCCTGTGTAACCTGAAAACCCTGGTGGTCTCATCCTAGAGTTATAGGCAAAGGGAAGAGAGTGTTAATTGCCTTGCCTTCAGTAGGAAGCTATAAAGATAAAATCCATTGCTTGATATGTCATCCTTTATTAGTGTGCAAAGTGGAAACATCCAAGCTTGCTCTGGTTGCAGGATAGGTGTTACTATGATAATATTTATATTGAATCTCATTATTTATTATAAAAGGAAAAGGAGTTATGATATGTTGCCTTTATTCCAGTTACTAAAAATCTCAGAGAGCCCCCTGGCATTCTTGTGCAAATTCATAGCTACATACACACAACTGTATGTGTAGCACCAGCGAAGTTCAGTCATCAGGGCAAGGGCAGGAAGGATGGTCTGGCTGCTTACAGAACAAGAAGGAGGTGTGACTGTTCTGCTGTGACCTGGCCTGGGTTAAATGCTCAGCTGCACATGGCAGTGCTCTTCTAACTGAGGAAAAGGTGCAGCCCTGCGTTTCTGCTGTGCTTGTTTGTCCTGCCTGCACAGCCTTGCAAGCTCCCTGGGGATGAGGACCAGTGTGGGACTGCAGTTGTGACACAAGGCAGCTAAGCTGTTGAGGTGTTCCTGCACTTTAATCTAGTCTTCATATTACTAGAGTTTATCTTAGATGCAGAATCTCTTTCCGTTCTGTTGCCTGCTTGTCACATGAAAACTTTGTATCTGTATCAAGCACAGGATACACTTTTTTAAAAAGGTCCAGTGAGTTTTTGATCAATTCATGTAACCACACTGTCAACAGATGAAGTAAAATAAACTGAAGTTTCTTGCTTTATTTTTTGCCTCTTTATAGGTCCATGAATTCCTTTTTGATTATTTATCTAATAATCCTCCTCTTTGAAGCCATTCTGAGCACTATTTTAAAGTATGCATGGCAAGCTGAAGAGAAATGGGATGAGCCTTGGTATAATGAAAAAACAGAGCATGAAAGAAACAGCAGTAAGGTAACGTAGTTCTGCCCAGTTGCATATATGCAGAGCACTCAGATAATATACACTCAATGTCATATATATTATGTCTCTTTTCTATGTGTAACTACCACATGATCCACTTGCAAGTCTCTGTGCTGGTGTCTCAGTGATTTTTGGGTTAGTCCCATGTAGCCTCACCACTGTGTAGAAATATTTCTACCTCTGTTACTGGTTGGACTTTTTCTTCCTTTATGAAAACACCAGACTTTCTGAAAACTTTTGAAAAGGCTTTGTTAGGACATATTTTTGATGGTTTATGTTCTAATTATTGTTCTTTAGGGTGTCTTTTGTCATTCCATAAAAGAAAAGAGGAGGAGGATGGCTGTTCTTGTGTACGTTCTATTGCAGAGATTTCACAGTTCAGGAATTTAGTACGTTCTGTGATGTTAAGATGGTTTGGGCAATTTCATAAGGCTGTAATTTTACTGAAGCTCCTGCTTGCCTGCTCAGTTATCTTTAGAGATTGAAGGGATACTTTAAAGTGTCCCTGAAATCTGTGGTTCTGAGCAGTATCTTTTTTTTCAATTAATCTGTATTTTTCTGTGTTCTCTCTAATTTTTGATTTCTGTATGAGTCTGCCTTTGTCGAAAGCAGTTCAGGAGCTTAATTTGAAATCATTCTATGCAAGTTAGTCTAGCCTGTGGAGCCTTTCAGTTCTGAATAGAGCAGGGATAAGTATTTCCTCAATCTTTCCATTCCTTTGCCATTAGGAATATAGAGACGTGTTTTTCTGCAGTGTCATTCTCCTTCTGTCATGTCTTTGTTTTTGTGTCCCATGTTGACTTCCACAATCTGCTTTGCATTTTTCAGCATGCTGACATCCTTACTCAGAGTGCTTTCCCTTGTCCATCTCCTCCTGTGTGTGCAGATTGTTATTTCATTTCCATTGCTTGAAGAAACTCTCTAACTTAAGTAATTGTCACTACTTCTGTTAGATCTCCCTTGCCTCAGTATTCAAGTGTTGCTGAGAGTTTTTCCAAAGTACAATTTAGATACTGAGTTTGTTTTGTAGATGAAAAAGAGACTGTAGTGTTGCATTTCAGGGTTTGTTAAAATTATCATACCTAGTAAAAAGAAGTTTCTCTCCTGTCACATAAGTGTTTGTCTGGAATATGTGTGTGGAACACAGTGATTTGAAGAGGCATAAAAGAAATTCACCTGGTCCCTTTCTTTTCGTGTAGTCTGGATCCCCCAAATCACTGGGGAATGCCAGCAGAGAGGAGCCCTCTTGACACTTTGCTGTCCTGAAACAACAGAGTGCTTGCAGATTCCTCTGACAGCATGGAAAATCACTTGTTTGCCTTCACAATTTAGGGTTCCTTAGAAAAGCTTACATGAATGATGCTGTTTGATGGAATAGGGAACACACATTACTTTTCTCAGACCAAACTGTTTCAGAGTTGGAAAACAGAATCATCATGACAGTTAATATTAATTGGCAGCCCTCCTGACAGATTCAGTAGAGAGACAAAAATTAATGAACTTGTGAATTGAAACCTCCAGTCACAGCTTAAGGCAGACTTTGTGCCTCAGTGTGAGGGTGTGTTACTGGGGCAACCTGCAAATGCCTGTGTTGTCACTGGAGTGTTGTCACTCTCGTGTCAATGTGGGGCTTGGGCTTCTCTGGCTCTCCCAGTTTGTCATTTTTCATGCACATTGAAGCATAATTAAGTCACCATGTTTCAGATCTTCTGTGGTAATCTTCATGTTTTCTCTTTTTCCCTTGTAGATCCTGAGATTTATTTCAGATTTTCTTGCTTTTCTGGTACTTTACAATTTTATCATACCTATTTCACTCTATGTGACTGTTGAGATGCAGAAATTTCTTGGATCTTTTTTTATTGGCTGGGATCTTGACCTCTATCATGAAGAAACAAACCAGAGAGCACAAGTAAATACTTCAGACCTCAATGAGGAATTGGGACAGGTAAAAAATACGTTTTCTGTGAGCTTTTTTTAACCTATTTTCGACTTAGGCTTTAATATTAAAATTAAAAGTTACTGCAGGCTTTTTATTACTTGTGATATGATTTCTGATTAATTTTAAAATAAGGTATAGAGATGTGATGGCAGAAGTTGAAGTTCTCTTATGATTAAAAAAGGTGTTTAATAGAAAGTGTGAGTGGAGATTATTGTAACTTTTTTCTTCTAATGAGTACATGCAATTCCAAGTTTGTAATTTTGCTTTATTTTACAAAAGGTAGAGTATGTGTTTACTGACAAAACTGGTACATTAACGGAAAATGAGATGCAGTTTCGGGAGTGCTCCATTAATGGCATAAAGTACCAAGAGGTCAATGGTAAACTAACTCCAGAGGGATTTTCTGAAGATTCTCCAGATGGAAATAGGCGTGGTTTGGTAAGGCTCTTTGGTTTTTCCCATCATTAGTCATTCTAGATGGAAAGTGTTTTATTTCAGAGAAGTATTCTTGTAGCATTAGCATAAAAAACCCCAAAAAACACCCAACCTAAACATAAATCAGAATTTCAGAGTAGTTTGAAGCTTTCAAGTGTCACTGAACAAATAATATTCATTAAACATGTTGAGCTGTGATTATTTAACATTAAATGCTTGGCAGATTTGTAAGTAAAAACGCTTTTTCCTTAAGTGTGTTCGAAACTGGGTTGATATGTAAATGTTACCAATCAAGTTTTTTCTTTCTTCTAGGTGAAGGAGGAAGAACTCTTCTTGAAAGCAGTTTGTCTGTGTCATACAGTGCAGATCAATGCAGACCAGACAGATGGTGCTGATGGTCCTTGGCATGCCAATGGAATCACATCCCCTCTGGAGTATTATGCTTCTTCACCAGATGAGAAGGCTTTAGTGGAAGCTGCCAGCCGGTGAGCAGCACTGCCAGGCCTGTCTGGCACAGGAATTGCCTGCAAGGGCAACCTTAGAAATGGCTCAGGACATTGGTGAAGCCCAGAGCCTGGCACTGCCACCTTACAGGGAAAACGTTCAAATGTAAAATACACAACCCCCTAGGGGTAGTATAAAGTGATGATTTAAAATATTTATGAAAATACTTGAGAAATTAAAGTGGTCAGAGTATGATGTGAATAAAATACTGCAGAAATGGGCATTCTTAATTTTCTCTAGAAGCAGAGTACAGTAATAGTGTGTAAGAGTTTCTTCTTTTCTTCCCTACCATCTTCCCCTCCCTCTATTAATAGGCATTTTATCTAAAGTGATAATTAAATGTATATTTTCTTTACTTTTAGGGTTGGAGTAGTATTTACTGGAATTAGTGGAGACAGTATGGAAGTGAAAAGTCTTGGAAAACCAGAGAGGTATTCGTTTTTTTTCCTTGATTGTTTTGAAGGAGAGAACAGTAGTGAAGATTAATGTAATGTTTTCCTCTTAATCCTCTGTGTTCATAAGCAAACCTTGCCTTTCCACAGCGTGCTCTGTTTAATGCTTTTCCCTTGATGTCTTCAAGACAGCTTGCATCTTATTCCTTACCAATTGTAGCTGAGATGCAAGAATTTTGTGTGAGTTACTCTGTGTAGGTGTGTGTTGTAACAGTTTGTATCTTTGCCCATTCCTCAAAGGTTGAGACTGTAGCAGAGTTGGAAAACTGAATTGCTTATTCAAGTCTTGTTTCAGCTCTAGAAATTCCCAGAATCAGTCTCATCTGTGCATAATCTAATTAGATATTTAAACTTTCAGAAAATGAGTACAAATTATTAATAACTGTATATCTGCAGTATGCCATAATTCCTTTTACTCATTTGATTTGTGTCAGCTAGTTGGCAGTACTTTGAATTTAAATGTTTAAAATTAATTTTCTAAGCTAGTGGTAACATAACAAATACTAATCCGCTTACCAGGGCACACACACTTTTTTGACAGTCTAGATTTTTTACAAGTTTGTCAGAAACAAAACATAGTTTTCAAAGTTACACTTGAAGTAACAGCAGAAGGATGAAGAAACAGAAAGGAGCTGCTTGTAATCTCCAAATGTCAAGTTAGTATTCAGAAAGCTGTTCCTGTTGCTTGAAGAACCTTTTATTCTTACAGAATGGAATTAAGCATATATACACTGATAAAAAGCAATGAACAGTGATTGTTGTTCAGCATTGGCAGCATTGCTTTCAGAGTTTCTATACAAAAATGACACTTTGAGGAAAGGTCTGTGGTGTAAGAGTCTATTTATAAGTAATTGCCTTTGGAAATTTATTTCTAAAAATGTTTTCTTCCCATTCCCTCTTTTAAAATGCAAAACACAGGTATAAATTGCTTCATGTTTTGGAGTTTGATCCAAATCGCAGGCGAATGAGTGTCATTGTAGAGAGTCCCTCAGGTAGGTGATCAGAGATTGCACAAAAAGCACTTGGGAGCTTCTTAAACAGCATTTTTTTAAATTTCCGTTTTATTTGACTTTCTAGGGGAGAAGCTTTTATTTACAAAGGGAGCAGAATCTTCCATTTTGCCTCGTAGTAAGAGTGGAGAAATAGATAAAACAAGGATACACGTGGATGAATTTGCTTTGGTAAGTGTATATGCTTGCCCACCTCCCAGCCCTCAACTGATCAGAAGAAAGTTCTTGCAGTGTCAATTGTGACAGTATAAACAGTGAAAAAATTGCTGGTGACACCTTCTTGTTAGATCATAATCTTGTCTACTCTGAATGTAATCTTTTCTTTTCCCACAGAAAGGCCTAAGAACTTTGTGCGTGGCCTACAGAAGATTCACACCCGAGGAGTACCAAGAAATTGGCAAACGCCTTCATGAGGCCAGGACTGCCTTACAGCAGCGGGAGGAGAGATTAGCAGATGTGTTCAACTTCATAGAAAGGGATCTGGAATTACTGGGGGCTACAGGAGTAGAAGACAAGTATGCCATGGAGTTACTGCTCTCTGTGCTCAAACCCATCGAGTTTAGGATTTACACTTGAAACAGGAAGTGTGAAAAGCTCTCTCACTATGACCAAAAGTTCTGTGCTATTCTTGTGTAGTATATTTACCTTCGGATTGAGGCACATTCAAAACAAAACTTGTACCAACTGATCCTGTCTTAATGACGATGATGTACAATGTGTTTCACCAGGAGAGATTTCATGTGTGTGAAATGGTATAGTTGCAGCAAATATTTAGTGTAAAAGTAAATTCATTGGAAAAGCTTCTACACACAGTTCCTTTGCAAGGCATTCTGCTTCTGCTTGTGCTCTGTAGGTCATAGGGTGTATTGTGCACTGAAGTGAGCACATGGGACATGAGAAGCTTTTCATGCACCACAGTAGCCAGGAATTACTGTGGACTGTTTTAAAGCTTCTCAAATGCAGTGATGATGCCTAGTTTAAATCAAGATAGGCTTATTAAAAATTTTTAATCCCTTAGCAGGATTGAAGTTTAGTTTTTGTTTCATCAAGGCCTTTGTTTTGTTGCTCTAACAGACTATTATCTGCCAGACTTAGGATTCTCTGGAAATACATGTAATATTGGAATGGCAGACTTAACTCACCATGACAGTGGGGTTACAGTGATAACGTGGAGTTACAGTATGAGCTCTTTTGTTTGTAAAGTGTTCAGTTGGTTATTCAAGATTTTTCTTGTTCCTAGACTGCAGGAGAAAGTCCAAGAAACTATAGAAGCCCTCAGGCTTGCAGGTATCAAAGTGTGGGTGCTCACTGGAGACAAGCACGAAACAGCTGTTAGTGTCAGTTTATCCTGTGGACACTTTCACAGAACCATGAACATCCTTGAGCTTGTGCAGCACAAGTCAGACAGTACCTGTGCAGAACAGCTGAGGCAGCTAGCCAAGAGGTAAAATATCTGAGATGTCACTGTCTTAGTGATGGTCTTAGCTTGGGTTGCTTTCATTTTTAAATTTTATTGCAGTCTCTTTGATGCATGTGCCAAAAAAGTTGTCAGTTGTCTTTCAAAAATCTTTTCTTGTTAATATCGTAACAGACTGGAAGAAGTAGTCTGTCTGACAGATTAACTCCTTTGCTTATTGTCTGGCCAACAACACAGTTTATAGCAAAACTGGAATTTTGCTGTTAACGCTGGTACAAAGTCAACATTTTTGTCCCCAAATAGAATAAAAGAAGACCATGTTATCCAGCATGGACTGGTTGTGGATGGGACCAGCCTCTCTCTTGCACTCAGGGAACATGAAAAGCTGTTCATGGAAGTTTGCAAAAACTGTTCTGCAGTGTTGTGCTGTCGCATGGCACCCCTTCAGAAAGCAAAGGTAAGTGAGAATATAGTCAGGATCTCCTTTGAAGTATTTTTATCATGCTTTGAGGTGGCAAGGATTTCTGAAATTACTTTGTTTGTCTGACCCTTTTTGTGACCTCTGAATCCTTGTTAAATTCAGATCTAGAGTATTTTGCTCCAGAGTTTCTATATGTGTGTTTGTAAGTTTGCAAGTGGATGGTGAAATCAAAATACTGCCACCAAGCTCATCTTTATTCTGCCTCCTGAGTGTTGAGTAAGGCAGCAGCTCCCCCGATCTCCTGCATGCTTTTGCCTTAGCTGCTCCATCACTTCTCCAAACCAAAAAAACTAAATTGAAAATTCATACACCTGTAGGAGAAACTGTGCTTCTCTAAATACTTTTAAAATACCCAAGTTTGAGGAAGAAGTAAAAGGGAAGGAAAGCCAAGGCCTGGTCTCCAGGAAAGCTTTATTATCTCTTGTAATATAATTTTTCCTTCACTCGTACTGAATTTTACTCAAATCCATGATGGATAAGGGTCAAATTCAGATTTTGTAATTAATTTATTTTTTGGACTCCAGAAAGCTAAGCTCTGAAAGACTATAATATTCTTTCCTTTTGAAATGTTCTCTTCATGAAAAGACCTCTGTTTACCTTAAAGCACTAGGAAACCCTTCTGTGATGCTTTAGATGTTCAAATGTGTGGCAAATGCTATATAACATGAGGGGTAGGGAAGAAAGTGCAGGGCAGTTTAGTCTAGTCTTGCACATTATTTTTTTGCTGTAGGCAACCTCTTGTGAGGTTTATTCCAAGATTAAGCTGGAACTCAGCTTAATATTTCCTGCATATTTAATTATAATGCGTGTTAATGTATGGTTAGCAGTCTCAGTACTAATTTTGGTATATTTTATGACTCAAAACCTTTTTTAAACATCATCATGTCAGTCATTTGGAGCTGCTGCTGTTAAAATTTGCCAGAGGATTTTTCTTGACCTTTTCACATAGATGTTTGTCTGTTCAAATTACCCAGGCCTTGGGGATCTCAGAGGACTGATCTGGGTGATGTCCTGCAGCCTTGTTACCTCTCTAAGGCTCCTCCTCCTAGGATCTAATGCTAAATGTAATTGGAATAATTACCCCTTAGGAATGGGGAGCCTTTAAACTTGAATATTAATACCTGCAATTAGGGAATGTATTTCCACAATCAGGTGGATTTCTCTGAGCTGTGGACTGTGCATTCCTCATGTGAAGTGAATTCCCACTCATGTGAATCAATGTCCTGACACTGCCAGCTACAATTCAATTATTCCAATACAGTTTTTTATGTCTACTTAACCTCATGCAGTTGCTCTTTTGATATTTCTGCTTTGGGGTTTCTGGAACTTGAGGGGGAGAATGTTTTTTCGTACATACTTATTTTCTTGGTTTTGGAAAACCTCTTGAGATCTGTGTTCATACCTTACCTGCAGCCCATTTACAGCTGAATTAGTGAAGCTTCTGTCTTAACCTAGAGCTCTGTGGGAGGTTAATGAATCACTAATCCTCCTTTAACCAAAAGCCTCATCTAACTAACTCCTCTGTATTTAGAGCATTATTGACACTTACATTGAAGATCTGATATCACTGCTCCTCTTCTGAGTATTTTGGGGCCTTGCATGTCAACATTTTTTTCCTTCATTCTGTCATATCTTCTTCTGTTTCTTTGTCAGTTGAGAATACCCCTTGATGATAATGAAGTTGCTTTAGAAATAAGCCATTTTCTTTAATAAAAGCATATTGTTCTTTTAGCTAATGCATTTGCTTTTTCAAATTACTCTTTCACCTGGATTAGTTCCATTAATTATAAATATGAAGAATCTGGGTTTATTAAAGGGCATTAAATCTGTATTACTTCTTAAGTTAAATTTTCAGTTCCAAATTTTACTTGACTTGACTTGGTTTTGTATGATAAAGCACCAAACTAAGAGTTATAAAAGAACATTGAAATAACAGGAAAATAGGCTCAAGGCAGATATAATATTTAAATCACACTTGTGCTCCAAAACAGACAGCTTTTCTAAAGAAGGAATTAATATATGCATGCGATATGCCAAAGCTGTTTTTTACCCAAACATGCATGTTCATAAAACATATTAATTATATCTACAGATAGGCAGCTAACTGAGATACTTGGGAATTGGTGACATGGTTTGTGGGTAGACTGTCTAATATGGAAGTGTTTAATTTTTTTTTTCCAGGTGGTTCGACTGTTAAAAACCTCTCCAGAGAAGCCCATAACATTAGCAATCGGAGATGGTGCTAATGATGTGAGCATGATCCAGGAGGCACATGTTGGCATAGGTAACTTCCTTCTGTCTCCAGGCATTGAGGCTTCTTTGTTTGAATCAGCATCAAATGAGCAGCTTCCTTTAGTTCTAAGTGTGAGGAGTGTCTTCCTTTGCAACAGGAAGCTGCTGAAGTCCTTACAGTGTTGAAGTGCAGGAAAACAGAACTGTAACATCAGATGTATATTGCTGGGTTTTTTAAATTTCAGTTTTCGTTATACTTAACCTGTTTTGTGTTTTGTTTCCCAAACATTACAGGAATCATGGGCAAGGAAGGAAGGCAAGCTGTAAGAAACAGTGACTATGCAATAGCACGGTTTAAATTCCTCTCCAAGTTGCTTTTTGTTCATGGGCACTTTTACTATATTAGAATAGCAACCCTTGTACAGTACTTTTTTTATAAGGTGAGTTTTTTTCCCAGCAAGAAATTTATTTCAGATCTGAGATTTTTGTTACAATCAGGTTAAATATATCTTTTTTATTTTATATTTTACAACCAATTGCAGTAGTTTAACTGTGAAATTGTTTAGTCTTTCCACCTAGAAATAGGCCTTAAATACCAACTGAGTTTGTCTAGGCTGAGAAGCTGATGTCTTTGTTTTCTCAAGGCAGGGTGGTTGGTTGGTTGGTTGGTTGGGGTGCTTTTGGGGTTTTTTCACTTGTTCATCAGTTTTCATAACAAGTCAAAACTCAGTATCTTTATTGAATTTTATCTGGGAGTTCAGCTTTGGCTCCCAAGTCCCCTTTGAAGTTGTTTTTGCCTTCATTTAAAGGCAATAGCATGGTGTTATATTTTGGTTTCTGCTTTGTTTGCTTCCATGCAACAAACTCACATGAGCAGGGCACAGCTTTATTGAATAAAATGTGGAATCTATTCTGCAAAGAAACTCTTAAAAAGAAACTGAAGGGGAACATGAATGGATTTTTTTCTACTTAGACTCCCGTAGTGAGATGTGCTCATCAAGCACATATAGTTAAGTTCCTACTTTTAAGGTTCATTGTCCCAAAGGACAAACAAACAAAACATCCTCTCAAGCAAAGCATCTTGCTTGACTTTGCTAAGTAAAATGCTGAAAGGCTTCGTGCTCTCCCTGTGTATTTTTACCAGCTTGTAAGAGTTAGTAATTTCTCTTAGGGCTATGAGACATGTACTGAAGATTAACTATTTCCTTCACTTCTCTTTATTTCAGAATGTGTGCTTTATTACACCACAATTTTTATATCAGTTCTTCTGTTTGTTTTCACAACAAGTAAGTATTGCATGCCTGACATCTTATTCTGTGAAACACTTGAGGTCCTTAATTAAGAAAACAAGAAAGAAGGACACAAGGAAAAGTAGAGGTGTTAAACTTAGCAAATACCCAGCTTCATTTTCTGTATTTGATAGCTGATGTTATTAGATTGTTATGTGAGTGCAGCTGTTTTCCTAGCTAGCAAATTCATGTAACTCATCAATTGTTGCTGCTGTAAGTGTGCTAATAAATCCTTAGAAATTCCAAGGCATAAAATGCTTTTTGCTTTCCTTTGCAGACGCTCTATGACAGTGTATACCTGACTTTGTACAATATTTGTTTCACTTCCCTGCCTGTCCTCATCTACAGTCTTTTTGAGCAGCATGTGCACCCGCATGTATTGCAGAGTAAACCTGTGCTCTACAGGTATGTATGTCCTGCATCAATGCCCACAGGGGCACATCTTGTACAGCAGCAGTGGCATCTGCACAGCTCTGAACTTGCTATTAGGCATTTTTACAATATTTATCTGTACCTCAGGCGTTTTTAGTACTATCTTGATGAGGAAGAGTTGAAGCTACATAGTTCTTATCCTATAAATTAATTAAAAGGAGTATTTTAAGAGAAATGGTTTTTTATGTCAACCATGTTACAAGTGAAGAGCATTTAGCACTTGGTCAGCTTTACATGATTAGCAACCTTCTCCTCCATTACATGTAGGAGGTGAAAATCACTCAGACATAAGAATGAAAAACTAGGACACCATGGTTAGGGGAATCACCACAAAAAAATTATCTACTAAGAGGAGTAATTTCCTGTAGAATTAGATGTCCTCCCAGTGGTAGCATGTTGCACTGCATACTGCTTTTTGGAGGAAAAAGGAGGTATTTTTATAAAAAAGAGATGTCTCTCAGATGTCTTTCTTTCTGTAAAGGTCTTTTAAGCAGAGCAAGGAATAAGTATCAGGGGATCTGGCTTTTTCTTCCTCTTGCAGTTCCACCTCCAGGGACAAGAATTCTAGTTTGTTAATTCATATTTTTTCATATGTCAGCATTTGTTAAATGTGTCTCGGTGCAGTTAAAAGTTACATTTATTCAAAGCAGTAGCAGTCATGCAGTGTGGATAGCTGCGGTTATGGACTGTATGAAATCCAAAATCTGTTTTATTTCTGCAGAGACATCAGTAAAAATGCCCATCTGGGGTTTAAACCGTTTCTTTACTGGACCATCTTGGGCTTCTTTCATGCATTTGTTTTCTTTTATGGCTCGTATCTTCTAATGGGAGAAGACACTTCTCTGCTGGGAAATGGCCAGGTACAATATCATAAGTGTTATTATACCACTGTGGTTTTGGCGGTATTTGTTAATTTTTTTGAAAAATCCTCCTGTGTCTGAAATATTTTGTCTTTAAAAACTACAGTTATCAAAGATTCTTTGTCAGGATTTGTGTGTTCTCTCAAGAGTAACATTTCTTAGTATGGAAATTATAAGGTGTTTTCAGAAAGCACATGTCCCTGAAGAGCATATCTTTCAAGATAATAGATGTATCATAGTTGTCTTAAACTTTGTTGTATTTTGTAAACTGTTTTTGTCAAAATCCTATTTCATAATGTCAGCAAATGAGAATTTATATTCATTCGTTCAAAACTCATTTAGGATTGGACTTAATTGCAATGTCAAGCAGTGGCTTCTCTGCAGTAACTGTTATAAAGTTAGGCTGAAAGTTGGCTAAAGTCTTAAAGCTTCTCCCGAAAACATTATTTTAATTACTCCTATTTTAAACTCTGCTTTTTATTCAATAAATGTTTTTAAGGCTATAACTTAATGAAATTAGCAAATACTGATTTGACACTTTCTTTTTAAAAGATGTTGAAGTTCACAGGAAGAATCATTTAAAAAAAACTAAAGCTTGAATGAAACCGTTGCAAGTCTGTTTCCTTATTTCCCCTGGTTCTGAGTTAGTTAACTCAATTTAGAGCAATTAAATACTTACTTTTCCCTTGTTAAACATGGGCAGTAATGCAAAACTACATTTGCTTCTCATTATGCCATTCTTAATACTAGCACAAAGAACTTGCCAATTCTCCTAATGCTTGGCAGAGTTACAAGTTATGGTACAAGGGACAAAAGCAGCATCCTGCTGAATTCCCAGTGTCACCTGGTGCCAGGGAGTGGGTGTGAGCTCAGGAAGTTTAGTCAGAAATGCAGTGATGTGCAGACAGTGAACAGGATGGTCCTGAGGGGCTGCAGGCAGAGCTGGTGTTGGCAGCATCCCTGCAGAGGAGGAGCAGTGCAGGGTGCAGCCCCCTGGAGCTGCACCCCTTCCATCATCAGATATTTGTTAAGAATGTTAAAATAGTTGTGCTTTAGACTAAAATGCCTCTTTCCAGTTGAGGCATGAGTGTGTCCTCTCTTGTCATTTGTTACAAGCTGTGAGATTTGAAATTCTTGTGAGCTGGTAAAGGTACTTCAGGACTCTTGTAATGAGGTAATTTTAGACTATGAATCAGTGTGCGTGGTGCATCCCTCTTCAGTTGTCAAAGCACCTCACTTCTAAATTGCTTAGTAAATGTCCATGGGGCAGGAAGAGACTTCTTCCATTGCATTTAGTAACAACTGTTTGGTTTGGGGAATTGGCAGCTGTCCTTTAGCTTCTTATGTGATACGACTTCAAATAAACTGTAAGACTTTTCTGGGTTTCAGTTACTCTGCCTCTCTGTGTTTGCTAAAAGAGGTTGATAGGAGCTGATAGAACTGTGTTGCAGTGAAATACCTGCATTGCACAGTTTCTTGCAAATTTAATGTGTGCCTGGAAAAGCCAAAATTAAGAGGACTTTGTGCACTGCTGGAGTGCTTTCTTACAAGTCCTCACGAAGTGGTCACCTGTACAGATCTGTAGTACAGGGTAGTGTTAGTGCAAGGCCTCACGTTTCCATTCCAAGTTCTCAGTTCAGAGCACAGCAGAATAGAATAATAATTAATAATAAATAATTTACTAATGCTGGTGCTTTGTTAGGCTTACCTCAACACATTGTGCAACTACTTGATCTTTTAGTTCTTTTTTCTCCCCCCTTTTTCATGCTGTGCATGTCGTCAGATATTGAAACCTAACAGGCAAATGGTAAGAGTTTAGAAGAGCAGGAGATACAAAATATTGTATCTGTTACTTCATAGGATTAAAGGATGCAGCATCCGCAGTGTAAATGTGTTCAAAAATAAAATGGTGGCAAGAACCTGTTTGTGTTTTGCATTCTAACTCTGTGACCATTGAGAGCAGTGTTAGCAAAGACACTTTCTTTCACAGGAGAAGTTTTAATTTTACTTTTAAGATGAATATTGCAGCAGTTAACAAGCACATTACTTGTTAACCATTACTGTTGGTAGGACAAGTAAATCCAAGGTTTTAAGAAGGCATGTTTTCACAAAGATCTTTAAAATTATCAGTAAATCCAGACTCATGGCTGCCTCAGTTTTGTACCTTGTGTATAGATGAGAGAAGCAGCTGTGCAATCTGTCCTCAGGCTGTCGGGATGCTTTTGTCAGAGCTCTGCAACAAGAACTACAACTGTGTGAATCCCAGTTCCGTGCCCCTGTGCCCTACTGACACATCAGCTCTAGGATGACCCTGGTTGCCTGTCTGCATGTGGTACCTTCCTCCTTGCTTGCTTAGTCTGCTACCAGTAGACACAGAGTTGAGGATTTGGTCACTGTTCAGTTTGTCAATGGCAAAAACAGCTGTGAAACAGCAACATCTTCTCTATGATCCCCCAGCCAATTCCTGACTGGACCTGGTGTAGAATGGCAGCCCTGAGTAGCATGTGTGTAGATAGATCCAACCTCAGCATCCCTGCTTGGTTGTCAGAGCTGAGATTTTATTGTTGTAGACCTTGTTCAGAGTTTTGATAGATTAATTTATGTTCACAAGAGAATACAAAAGTGACAGATTCCAGTGTTTCATAATTAGAGCTTAATTTTGTGTTTATTAGCCTTGAAATAAAGTGTCTTTTCCTTAGAACTTTCTTTGTAAAATACAATGGCACCATTATTTTTGAATTGTAGAGTTGTGCTAAAAGTGAACCTTCATTTGATGCTGCATGTTTAAAGTTATCTGGAAGTGTTTAAACTCAAAAGTGTTCTGCACTTAAAGTGAATACCTTCCACCCAATATTTCCTTTCTATTGGACGCTTATAATTAATTGATCAAATCGGTATCTTCATTTTCCTCTCATTTCATATTACTGTTTTGGCCTTTTTTTTCATATTTCACGTGGTGATTTGTTTTGAACCAAGAAAAAAGATTACTTGGGGGTTGTTAATTATGCTCTTATCATAACCTGTATTTTTTCTAGTAGTTTGTGTTGTATCCTCCTTGCTTTTTTCATGATGATTATTTGTCACAAGCTTATATCTTATTTCTTTAGTGTAGCTGACTTGAGAATAATTTAGCTTACTGTGAATGCTCTTAACTGATGTTTTTTTCTTCCATGATTTTTGCCTTGCCATTTTCTTAGATGTTTGGGAACTGGACATTTGGTACTTTGGTCTTCACCGTTATGGTTATAACTGTTACGATGAAGGTATGATATCACACTGACTGCTCTCTGGGTTTGGATTTACAGGCAAATATGTAATAAAGCAGTAATTCAAAATTGGTTCCAAAGTTACTGATTCTTGAGGGTTCCAGATAAGTGGCTTTTATGATTAGTTTCAACAGTTGAAATTTTTCTTTAGTTTCTGTGTGTTACAACAATATTTAGTGTTTGGGCTGGAAGTTTGTAAGTGTGTTCTGACTGGTAGTTATCATTTTCTGTGAAGTGGATGGAAAACAGAAGCTCACTGAAGTCATCTCTGTTTTAGATGGCACTAGAAACTCACTTCTGGACATGGATAAACCATTTTGTTACTTGGGGATCCATTGTATTTTATTTCATATTCTCCTTGTTTTATGGGGGAATTATCTGGTAAGTGATTTTTTTTTCTCCCCCTTTTTATCACATATAGTATCAATGAAGCAAAAAAACCTTGAAATATTTTGTTCTACCATCTTACTCTGAATTTTGTGACAGATCTGTGGAAAAAAAATAAAGTTTTAAATCTGGACTGGTCACTTACTTTTGGTGTTTCTTTGAAAAATTTAAGAAGTGCTGCTGAGCTGTCCTGTGCTCAAGGACAAACAGTAACTGTCTCTGACAGCCTGGAACTATAAAGGCATTTTTAAGAAGTAAATAGGTTCCCAGAGGTGCTATGTAATGGGTAAGTAATTGCAACAGAAGTAAAGATGCTGGGGTTTGAATCAGTAAAGTGAAGTATTTTTGCTTGTAGTTTGGAGTCTGGAGAGATAGGGTGGTGACCGATTCTCTGCAATACAATTTAAAATTAAATCGGAACCTTTTCCTCCAAAGTTCAGTACCTTCTCTCCCTGGAGCTCATTTGCAGGTCAGATCCAACAAGTTGCTGGACTTCACATGGACAGAGTGCAGTTGTGACTCTGCATCCTGGGTCTCACTGCTTGATGTAAAATAAGATACACTTGAGACAGCCTGTGCTGTACTTTTGTTCCTAGAAGTTCTTTTTAGTAATTGCCACTTCTTTTAACTTTTCAGGCCATTTTTACATACCCAGGACATGTACTTTGTATTTGTTCAACTGTTGTCAAGTGGTTCTGCTTGGTTTGCCATAATCCTCATAGTAGTTGCTTGTTTGTTTATTGATGTTGTGAAGAAAGTGCTGTACAGACATCTGCAACCAACAAGTACTGAAAAAGCTCAGGTAATGTTATGCTTTTGTATCCAACTTGACCAATAGTTACCCTCTTACATTGCTGTCATGTTTAATGCAGAGAAGTGTTCTCATTTCGAAATACACTTGTTGATTTAAAATTACAAACACCATTTGACAAGACATTATGTTTAGTAATTGGTAATAAAAGGAATAGAATTTTTTATAAAGGAATCACTCAGTCTTTTGCATCTCAGCTTGCAGCTGTATGAAAGGATCATACTGCTTTATAGATGGTAACTTACTTTTTGTCTAGGTATTAGAAGCCACCACTCTAATTGGCACTGAATAGTTCTTAAAATTTGATGGAAACAATAATTTTAAAAATCACTTTAGTAAAACTTGTTTTAATTAGTATTTTTTAAATCTCAATCATTTCATATGCTATGCATTTGAGTGTTGATTCTGTAATTAAAGCTAGTTACCCATGTGGCAGTTTCACAGATTCATAGACAAGGTCTAAAGTTATGCTCTGGTAATGGAATCTCCCTTCTGCCTGACATAGGCTACAAAAAATCCTTTAAATCATTCTGGTGAGATTAGACTGTCTTTTAGGTAAATAATCTCATCTCAAAGTGTTTTCTTCTTTTTAGAGACAGTTATGGAGAAGTCGTCCTGACCTGTTGTTCTAATAGTGTCTGGTTTCAGTTTTCAATGTTTTATCTCTTTATACTTCTGCTAAATTGACAAGGTTTCTATTACAGTTTTTGTTTTAATCACAGTTAGCTTTGTGATCAAGTTAATTTTATGACTGATAGGTAGATTGGATTTTCATCTTCAGTCAAAAAGGTTGTTTTAGAATCTTCTCATCATTCTTGTGTTTCTCATGTAATTTTCACCCTTCTTCAAACTCATCTTGAATTTTGGATTTCGCCAGTGGACACAAAGTGGTCTGCTTGGCACAGCAGACCTCAGTGCCAAGTATGGAAATAATGAGTCCCCAGCTACATTCAGATTACAGAATAACATACATCTATAACCTGTTGTCTTCTGCATCTTCAGGACATCTGCAGCTGGTGATGTTGGTTTCTTTCAGGTCGTTGATGAGAGGTCAATTAGCATAGGGCCAAAAATAGTGAAAGTGAATGAAGAACCCAACTGACAGAGATATCCCATGCACAGTTATGGTCTGAAACCTCTTAGCAGCTTTCTGTCCACCTTGTGCCAGATCGATTTTGTGCTGTTCTAATTGCTTAATGCAAGTGGCAGTGAGCTCTGTGCCAGAACTCCTGACTGCACTGCATCAGTGCTGGTATCTTTAGCATCTAACCTTGTAATTACTTTGATGTAAGTGCATGTTGGTTTACTTAAATTATATTACCCTTCTAATTTGTGTGTTAAAAAAAATCCGTGTGAGATGTTCTCTTAATTTGCCTAGGATCAACATCATGCTGAGAAGCCTGCTGCTATCCAAAATATCCCACTAGTCCCTTTCCCAAACTGGCTGCCTTTTCCTGTGATAGAATTTAGTAGCTAAAAGCCAAGGTAAATAACCACTGGCTTTCACAAGACTGTTCAGATAGACCTGGTAAGACTCTGGATTGCACATTACTGCACTTCTTGGATTAGAGTGTCTGTAGGTAATGATACTTACCTGTCTTTTTTTCTCCTGTCAAAAACTAGTGGCAATATTTATTGAACACTCTCTTTCCTTCCTTGCTGTACATCACCTGTTGCTTTCTGGCATGGTATTGGTGTGGTTCTTGAGGTTTCTCATGTTCTCGAATTGCTTGAATTAAAACCCAAAAAACCACATGGTTTTTCCTGCCTTTATCCATATATTTCCTGCTGCATTATCTTTCTTTAGGAGTCCTTTCTGAGGAATTTTTGGGTTCAGTTTAATGCCATTATAGCTATGCAGTCAAGAACACAGTAGGACTTTTTCTTTTTAAGAAGGAATCTTGATGAATGTCTTAACACCTTTCCCGTGGCTATAGTTTGATTCTTGGCCATTGGGATTTTGCTTTGTGCATCTCTATTAGTTGTCTTTTTTCTTCTTCATTATTTGCTTTTTATTTTGCATTTGACAGAGTCATTACTGGGGTCTCTGTTTGCCAAAGTACTGTCTTTTTCTGAAAATTCTTAATTCCTGATGTTGCAAAGTCAAGGTATCTGAAATGGAATTTGACCAGAAATTCTTTAGCAGCCATCCAGTGAGTTCTCTGTGTGTCTGATAGTGAAATTATAGCTACAAATATATTTGCAAAAAGAAGGCATCTCTTTGTTCCCTTCTTGAGGTTTAAACCTGTTGAGATTTTCCTACTCTTGCTTTAATGAGACAATCAGCTCCACTGAATTTCATTCACTGTTCTTGCAGTGAGGAAGTGGATATAACTGAAGAGGAGCAGATGATCAGCTTAGCACATTTGTTGTCAGAAGTGACAGAATGCTTCTTTTATGATCATACCTCATAATTTGTGTTTAAAATTCCTCGTAAATATTTTTTTTCCGTTTCCAAGCAGAGGAAGAGACTGACTTTCAAATAGAAAGGGTTTGGAGAATATCTGTCCTAAACACTGAAGGTGATGACTGATGCTAATGAATTGTGCAGAAGTCATTGAAGGAGTAAAAACAGAACTTTGTTTATTGTCCTTTTAAATTATTTTTCATAGTGTAGGTGCATCCTCTGTATAACTGAACATGTTTAATTATTCATTTTTAATTGTAGGTCTACATTAGGATGTTTTCATATTGGGGGAAAGAAAAAGCTTGGTTTATAGTTACTATGTTTTTATTATGGCAAGATAAATTGTTACATGACCTAGTTCCTTGTTTATAAATTGCAGCTATTTAGGTTATTTGTTTCTCTCTGCCATCATTTAAATTCTAAACTAATCCCAGGAGCAGTGAGCAAAACATACATTTCTCAGCTGAAAATGCTTGCCCCTATTGTTTTAATTTTTCAGAAATACTTTGTGTGTGGCTTTCCTGACTTAGTGTTCTGAATTCACTGTATCTGTAGGAATCTGCCTTACCTTGATTTTATATCTTTTTGTTGGTATAAGGTAATAGCATCAAGTGTGAGTTTGCCTCTGATATGTTAGATGTTACATGTAGCTATGTTTTTCATGAGAGAGCAGAGAAGTTTAACTGATATGAGAAGGAAATTTTATAGGCTTTTAAATGTAAATATTGTTCTGTCACAGCAACTTAAATCTCAGTCATTCTTATTGGGAAACTAAAAATTGAGAATTTGACAGGCAAGCATGAGTTTACCTTCACAGAGGATGAGCTTGGTTAATTTTATGTTCCTTAATGCACTTAAGGTGAATGTATGTTATTGTATTTTATTTTAGTTTTGCTGTGTTTCAAGGGCTTTTTGCTGGCCTAAAGAAAAGCCACCTTATGTTTCACTGAGGTCAGATGCCCTGAAGTAGCTTGTGGGCAATTTCTCAATATAGGTCTGTTACAGAATCATACAGGAGGAATTGGACAGTAAGGTAAATATGAATCAAAATATAAATCTTTGGGTAAAGATAAATCACAGCACTGTTGATGGGAGAAAGCAATACAGAATAAAGGTGTCTGGTAAAGCACAGATGTAAAAGTGTGTAGGCCTTTTCTGTCAGTATGAAAGCAAAGGTACTTTAAGAATGGTCTTGCTAAACAGTGACTGGCTGTGATGGTCCCAGGAGCTTTCTTGAAGGTACCAGGCTTGTGTTCTGTATATGATGTGTATTCCTCTTAAATAACAATGTGTTGTCCTGTGTCTTTCTCTTAGAAAATTACTGCTGCTACTTACTGACATGTGTGTTCCATCCCTTCTCTGTCCAATTGTAGATGTACTCCAACAGAGTTGCTTTAAGTGACGAGTTCATCGCACTGCAGCCATTGTCCAGGGCAAGGAATCAGCTGAGCAAAATTAGGTAGAGTAGGAGGGACAGTTCCTCATCAACTCTTATGCATGCTCAAGGTGAACTAACCAGTGCTGAGAGAGATTGGAAGAGGCATGAATATATATTAGTGGGGTGAGAGGGCAATACCTGTAGTGCAGAAACATTCAGTTTGGTGATTTCTTGGCTTTGCTCTGTGTTTCTGAGCCAAATGCTTCTCCTAAGTAGCATGTGTTGGACGTGCTTTTGTTTTTTGAGGAAAAAACATCCCTAGCATGATGCTCAACTTCCACAATAAAGATCAGCTGTTCTTGCATCCATTTTTAAATAATCATAGATTCTGGCATGGTTATAATGCTTTTAGTTTCTTTATGATGAAAATTAACAATGCATTTTGCATGCTGGATAATTTCAGCTTTCTAAGGCTGTGACAGGAAGTTCCATGTACTTCAGACAGCAATTTCTTGCAAGTTATTTGCCCATTTTAATTTGCTTTCAATTGTGTTGAAAGAGCAGAAAATATTTGAAGCTTGGGTGCGTCCATACCCTTGTGCAGCTGAGGCTTTTTGTGTTTGTTTTGTGGAGCTATAAATGAGTGTTGTTTGTTTTCAATGTGTATAGATACATATTCGTAAAGGCATTTGGCTACAAAGTCGCAGAAAATTACTCAAAACAAGATCAAAGCATACATGTGTCTGTGTAGGTAAAACATGGTTCTGCAACTCTTCAAACACGCTGAGTTCAGCACATTAAATGCTGTCAAATACTGATTGTCTTTTATGAGCCTTAAGCATTCATATGCATCAGTAATGTCTCAATCTGTTCAATTCCACTAATATCTACTTCTACATCCTACAGCAAGAATTAATGCAAAGATCTGATTCCTTTTTAATATTTTTCAAGGTGACTTTGTTGTTAAAAATGTGTAAATAGGTGCCTGAAAGAACCAACTAACCTACATTTTAGGGGCTTAATTGCCGTTTGTTTAACCAGAAGAGAAAAGTTTTGTATTTCCTCTGAAAATGCACTACAACTTTACAAGGCAAAACTTGAAATGGCCATATTGTGTTGTGGTGTTAGTGACCCCAGTGTGAAACACAACACCTTGGATTTCCAAATACCCAGGGGCATAGTGCTGGGCTGGTTTTATTTTGTTTT